TGTTCAAATGCAAAAAGAGCAAACAAATAAATACATTTTAATTAAATAACGAAAATCCACATAAATTTATTTCAACATAAAAGTATGTATCTGTTTATTCTCTATTTAAGATAAATAATTATTAGCTCCAAATATTGCAACCTAAAGAAGATCTAAAGAATGTTAATCTACAAAAAGGATCTAAAAATCAAAAAACACGTTATTTTACCATTTGACTTTTCCTGGTTTGTCATGTACAAAGGTCTCAGCAAGTCAAAAAAAAAAAAAAAAATACTGGGGGACTATTAATGAAAATTGAAAGGGAATTTATTTTTATGCTTTCACATGACAAAGGCGAGTCCCTTGGTACAATGGGAATGTGGAAATATTTTAGATTACTGTCTTCATGTTTACATATCACTAAAAATAAGTTACATGACGACACAAGAAAGTTAAAAAAAAACTTTTGCAGTATTGTCTTTTTCAGTTAATTTTGTCTCAAAATAAATAACATTAAAATTAAAGTTTAAAAATCATTCAGAAAATCCTAATTTTGCACTTGATCAAATATAAATTACAAATTGAAATTATTTACTGTATTTTAAATATGTTAATTTAGAAGAAAAATAAACAAATGTGTTCATTAAATTCAATGAAAAAAAAACATCAAAATAACTAGCAATAGGACAATTATTAAAAACATCAAACATTATTCACGAAAAGTATTACACAAATATTTCACGTCAAGTGTGATTGGAATATTAAGGTAGAGATATTCAATAATCTTCTATATTCTCACATAATATTTTTGCCAATAACATGACAGAAAAAAAAAGCACAATAACTACATTTTAGAATATTGTTTAATTACATTGGTTTAAGAAAAAATCTTCCGAAAAAAGTATGCTAACAGGTGTTTTTTTTTTTTACTAATTTTCATGTGGTGGATTCAAATTTCTGAATAGTTTTGTTCTATCACCTCTAGTTTTTTCTGCTTTCACATATCACATTTCTATTATACTGTATATAAATTCAAAATATAATGTGTTTATTTTATCTATTGCAAAAAACAAAAAAACAGAATAGATACAGATCATTGATGGAACTAAATTACTTGGATAATATCATACATACACATCAAAGTACAACAGTCAAAAGTGAGTCTTTTTTTGTTTTTTTTTTGGATGATCTCATGTACTTTGCATTCTGTATAGTTGCACAGGAGCATCCAGAATTCCTCCATCATGCTGGATTCCACTTGCCTTGGTATTTCCTTTCTGTCTAAGTAATACCTGGGTGGAATCTTTTTCCATGCTCATCACTCACTGCTCTGAGGTTCAGAGGAAAGAAGTTAAATGTAGGAGTGGAGAAAGTGAATTTTGAATGACATGCAGCATTCCATATCCTCATACGTCTGTAATAATTTCTTGATACACTCTTAGTAATCTGGTACTTGTGTATTACCAAGGAAGCTATAACTTAAATGCTTCCCATGCTCTCAGTTCATTTAAGATAAGAAGCTCTGTATTAGCACAACCTGTTTTCCATGTTGAAGAATGAGGCAAGTTTTGTGTCCTGAAATTGGTGATTCTTACATCTGCTGTGACCAGTTTCCACTACTTAAAAGCCAGGATATGCTCTGACTGCTGCTTTGATAGGTATGTTATATTAAGCAAATGGTGGCAGAACAAAGAAGAAACAACAGAAGTTTAAAGAAATAACCAATTGTATTAACATAAACTACAAAAATGATAAATCAGTTTAAATATCTCTCGTTGAAAGAAGGAGATAAGTGGAGTTATAAAAGGTGTCTGCAGAGGTGTATACTAAGAGAGGTCAGGTGAGTTACTGCAGCAACAGCCTTTGGTGAGTTGTCTTTTGGAGATGGGAAGTTGCTTTCAGACGAGTGTTGTGAATCTGGGCCAAGATGCTGTCTGACTGCCGAAAATGTCACTTTGATGGGTTTTTTATGTCCTTTCTTAGGCTCAAATCAGCTCTGGTTTTTATTTTGTTTCTTTAGGCAGGAGTAGGTGCTATTGGGTGGAAATTCTGGATTGTATTGCTTATTTTTTTTTTTTTAAGTGCGGATCCTATACATAGTTGAATGGAATTTTAGTTCAGCCTTGGGTTTCAAAGCGTTCTCATCTGGCCAGTGGTGGAAATAAGTGTAACATGAATCAGAGGAAGATCTGGTTTTAGGAAGAATGTAACAGGTACAAATCATGGGCAAGGGCATGCAGATCTTCCTGGGTGATCCAGTGAGGGCTCACTGTCACTGAATAAACATGGATATTGTCTTCAGAAGAAACCGACTTGGCAAAATATTCCTCTGAATGCAATTTTTCATATGATGAAAGAATAAGATCTTTATGTGATGCGTGTGTAGGGACAAGGAGATCATCTGAGTGAGGAACAGGTCTCATAGCTGAAAAAAGCTTAGAATATTTGCTTTTTTTTTTTGGGGGGTCTTTTTTTGGGGGCAGGGAGAAACATTGAAACTCATTGTATTTGTTAGACAAAAATAACAAATCATCTGCATGACTTCTTTTCTCTCTCCAGACCATCCGACAAAAAAGTCGAAGGCTGCGTTTTTTGTCATGAAACCATTGTAACAAAGTTTATAACAGATGTGTGGTGTCCAGGATTTGTCCTGATCTTCAATTTTACAGTCAAAATGATCAATGTAAGAAGCAGTTCTCAGGAAAGGTTTAATTGTTCATTGTTGTGCAACTGTTGTGAAATCCCCACACACATAACACAGAATGAATTTTCCATGTTGATGCATCCTCAGTGTTTTGAAGTGACTGTGGTCATAGAGATATGTTAGCTCATAAAAATATGGAAAACAAAAATATTGATCATCATATATGTTTATTTTTATGTCCATATGTACCCGAACATTCGAATTTGATGAGGATTTCATTTCACTGCAATGAAATTAAGGCATCAGGGTCGAGCGTAGGCTGCCAAAGTCGGACATTATGTCAGTTTAAAAAATATATATATAATTGCTAAAATTGTAAATTAAAAAAAAAAAAAAAAAAAAAAAAAAAAATAATGACCTAAGTGACACATCTGGCAAACTTGAATTGAAAAGCATATAAATTAACTGATTTAAAATATGGTTTCTTCGCTACACAGGAATTACCATGTTTCAAAAACCGAAGCTAAAATTTCAAATTTAATTATAAAAGCATTTAGTTGTTTCATCTTCAAGTGAATATTTATGCTCTGTAAATTTACATTGAGCACTGTTTTGTAAAAATAAAAATATGAATAAGAACACCGGATTACTGTTCTTTCTTTTTATTATAATGTGCATGCATTCAAGTTTGCCAGATGTGTCTTTTTTAGGTCATACGTAATTATTTTACGTATACATGATCTCAAAAACTAGAGGCGATTTCATAACGAAAATCAACACCCTAAAATTAGGTTAGTAGAGGAGAGAGAGAGACCATTTAGAACACCTATTTTTATGCTTTCCTTAAAACCAGTGTTGTTTGCTAGTCTAATTCATTTCTGTTGTTTAAAACTTAAAAAACTATTTTTTTTTTTTTAAAGTAAACCCTATAAAAAAAAAAAATCTATATTCTGGATAAGGAAATGTTTTTTTTTTAATAAGCAATCGAAGAAAAATAAGGTAAATTAAAAAAAGTTAGAAAATAATATACCGTCATTCAATTTTATCTTTAAAATAAAGTGGTTAAGTTAAGTTAATGACTGATTAAATGAATTCAATTAACATTCCATTTTGCAGTTTGCTTAATAAAGAACGATTGATTTTAAATGAATAAAATTTATTTTGTATAAAAAGAAAACACGTGATAAACCTTCAACAGTCAACACAAAACATTGTTTTTTTGTGCAATGTACACGATACATAAACAAAAACCCTAACATCGTTCAATTAAGTTTTTTCTTAAATAACATTGGCAAAAATCAAATTGAAAATGAACAGAAATACACAGGCAATCTTTTTCTTGTTTTTTAAAACAATTCCTTTACAAAAACAAATTTCCATTTATTTTTCTATAATTCAACTTACGCGTGAAAGAAAAAATAAAGGCGACGTTAACGATTCTGTGTACTTATTTAAATTTTAATGACAAAAAGAATAACTTCTAATAATGAATTGAATATTATTCTTAAATTACGTCCGGTTTTTAAATATAAATCTTATTAATTAATAATATTGTTCCTCATGAATTTGTACTTTAAAGTTCTTAAACTTGCAATTGCAATGTTGCCCGTGGATTTTTTTAAAATTTAAATAAATTAATGTAATTTATGAGTGCTATTTTTATAAATTATAAGTGACACTGCAAGTTTAAAATAAATAAGTTCTATTATTCATTTATTTTTGTAAGTAATTTAGGATTTAAAAATGCATTGCTTTCAAAATATTTTTAAAAAGAAAAACATAAAAAGATAAGAATTTGATGTTTTTTCTATTCTCAACAGGACTTATTCTTCGTAAAAATCAGAATCGCATTAAAACTCATCGATTTACTGAAAATTCAAACAATATTATTGTTTTATCAATATTTTTAAATGAATAAACTGAAAAAATTTAACATAGGTATGCCGTTTTTTTAGTTGCTTGTGAATGACGACAAAAATCACATTTTGTTTACTTAATTTGGCCATTTCTTTTTTCTTTCTATTTCCAGGAAAATTCTATTAAGTTAGATTTCCCTAAATAAAAATATTGCTTTTCTTTTTTTAAATAAAATATATTTTAAACCAGAATGCAATATCAAAATAAGACCAATAATAATAATAAAAATAACCAAACATTTTTTATGAACAAATATGGGTGGAAAGGTGATTTGTAGAGAGGAGGGCGAAGTAAAAATTATTTGAACTTTGTAAAACAGGTAAGCAAACGAAAAAGGTCCGCTTTTCCAAGCAAAGGAATAAATAAACTGGGGACATGCAACTATGACCACTAATATGTTGATAGTAAAAAATAAAAATAAATCAAATTTAAAGAATGCAAACACCGAAATTGTCTTTACCTCGGTCCACTGCCTATCAAATAAGTGTTGGTGCCTTGCAAAGTCATGGGCCCTGGATTACAACCCAAAATCCTGCTGACACGGGAAGTCAGTTTCTGAAATTTGGGTATGTAAGATAGTTTATTCATGCTTGGCACGAAAAGAATTAAGGTAAATAAAGCCAAAACAAAATGTAAGAATGTTGGAAATCACTGATAAACAAAAGAGCGCCTCCTAACGCCAATGGTAAGAACTTTACTTTTTGAACAAAATATTACTCACCCAACATGGCTTATTGATTTAAAACACTAAGAATTTAATAATTAATTTATTTTGGCAGTATTTTTCGCATTTGGAGAAAAACAGGTTGATAGGAAAACAGCTAGTAATAAGGAGGACAAATTTAATTCCCTAAAGCTCTGCTAATTTAGTGGTTTAATTTTTTTTTATTGAATTTTCGATCTTTTTTTCTTACAATTAAACTGCACCCCCACCTTACTCAAATAAATAAATAAACAGTAAGTTGGCTTGAAAATTTCTATTTATTTATTTAACTAACTTAGACCCGTACAAATGGGTACTTTGTTTAATTATTTACAGTTGTTCTCATCTTTGTTGTTATCACAACGTTTCGTTCCACTGATCATGTATCGTCATTCCTTTCGTGACGAAACAATGGTTTAAAATAAATGGAGTAAAAAGCGTTGATCTGTGAATTTGGTGACATAGTGGTTCTGAGTTCAGTCCCAGAGTCAGGCAGTGTGTACTGTACTTGCACTCAGTGAAAACGGGCAAGAAATAACTGGAACAGTACTAAAAATAAAATAATAACTAGCTAGAGAGAGACGATACCCAGACATGGGCAGTGGAAGAAGTTTACAGTTTACCGGACCCCCGTAGATTAAATTTAAAAAAAAGGATTCAGTTCGAAATTCCCTGTTATCCAGATCGAGGGCACAACGTGATAACAACAACGAAAATTAGGACAATAGTTCGAATATAAATACTAGTTTAAAATGATATAACTTCATCCCAAAAATAAAAAAAAATGAAATTTGTGTGGCTGTCAGTGTCAGAGCTAGCTTCTTCTTTTTAAGAAAGAAAGAAAACTTGACAGGTTATCGTTCAGCTCTCAATCGAAGAAAACAAAACAGCTGTTCACATGAGAATAAGATAAAACCAAGCAAGTCATCCCTTCTTTTTCATTTATTTCAGATTGAGAATAATGTCCCTGAAGTTGAATACTATCTAAGAAGTTTTCTTTTATTCACAAAGGTAAGAAGACCGAGGCTCCAAGTTTCTTTTAAATTAAGTTTTAAACGAAACCGCTATGAAAAATTTAAAAGTCGGTTAATTTTTGAAGTGAGTTAAAAAAGTTATGGTAAAAATCCAAGTTTTTAACCACTACAAAACATTCGTGTGAACTTTTTAAAATATTTCACGGTGATTAAAAAGAACAGATGTCAATAAAATCTTGATTTTTGACGTCCATTCATTTTTCCTATTCGAAAAAACAAATAACTTTTTTTATCCAACTATCATGTGGTTGAGTTTTTTTTTTCCTAACTACTAACTTTGCCATTTATACGCTGGTCTTGTATTATTGCACTAGATCAGTAGTTCATTCTTTTTCTTTATTCCTATTCTCTGCTATTTTTCAATTCCATTTTTATTGTGTGTGAGTTAATAATTGTGTTAATGACAAAGCAGTCTATTTCGTCAAATGTCTAAATTTTTTAAGGTGTACACTACGTCCATTGTAAAAATTTACTATTATTTTAATTTACAATATTTGTATTTGCAAAAAAAAAAATCATTTAAAAATTAAGATAGTGACTAAAAACTCCATTAGATCTTATTCTTAAATGAAATATATACACAGTGTACAGACTTTAGTTTAAAACTTTAACTGAATTAAAAAAAAGATACTACTTGGCTTCGGATTTTAGGGAAATTAAATTTCCTTAAATTTATTTAATCGTAAACAAAAAGATCTTTGTCCTGAACACGAATTTTGCTATAACAAAATTAATAAATGTATTGATTCGCAATAATGATTCGATTTGGGGCGAGCAAGCATCTTCTGTGGGTAGGTACATTAAAAATGAATGAGTTTTACTGTAAAACTCATTACTCATTTTCAAGATTTAAAAAAAAAATGATTTTATGTTAGTAGCGCAGCGGTTATCAGCATAGAAAGTCTGCGAGCTGAGTAATAACACTTTGACTTATGGCCAGTTCTCCCAGTTGTGAGTTTTAAATAAAATAACACTACTAACAGGGTCCTTGTGTAACGGCCAGTCTAGGACGTGGCCGGTAATAAAGTTACAAGAAAAAAGTCGCAATTTTGGTTTAAAAAAAAAAAAAAAAAGCCACAGCAAAAAAATCACAATTTTGGCTAGGAAAAAGTCACAACTTGGTTTTTTTAACCGCGCTTATTACTGTCAATAATTTCTATGGCAGAAGGCGTAAAAAAATTATTTTTCACTAAATCTCTAAATCCAAATATTGTTGATCCACAACGGCATTGAGATCCGAAATTTCCACTATTCACGCTGTCTTTAAACTAGGGTAGAGTTAGGAGTAGGAGGGTTAAGAAAAAGTTTTAAAAAAAAGACGCAGAAACATTGTCTTGTTTTTTTTTTTTTTTCTTTCCTGTGACAACTTTTACCTGGATCCATCTAAGAGCAACTCTGAATTTAAAACCGCGGAGAAGGAAACACAAAAATTCTTTAACTGTCTTTTTCAAGAAGTCATGGCAGATAATAAAGAAAAGGAATCTGTGGAGAGAAATGATCGCCTACGTCCCAAAAGCATATGGCATTTTTACAAGTGAGAAAAAGAAGTTTCACTAATAAAAAATAACATATTTTAAATGAAAATTTATTGAGTCCCTTTTCGATAAAATGGGTCGTTGTTTGTTAATCGTTTTTTATTTTCGTGACTAGTTTTTTTTTTAACTTTTAAATAAGTAGAAATCTGTACAGAACCAATAAATAAAAAATGGTTATATTTTGAACTGATGTAAGCTTCAATAGTGAAATGTAGAGTTAATTTTGGAATCGTGAAAAGCATTATTATTTATTTATTGTAGTTTGATTTGCTTTGTTCAAATATGACGTTCATTATTTCAGAAAACTTATCCTTTTTGAGAATAATTAATCTAGTTGCTGATGTTCAGTTTAAAAATGAAAAAAAAAAACCCTGAATGGAAAAGTGGACTGGTAGTGCGCTCATTTACGCAAATGTAGCTTCGAAATGGATCCTAATTCCGTACCACTGATAAAAGAAAAAACTAAAAGGAGGTCATGAAATTCTAAATATCGATTTTATTCCAATTTTTTTTACTGTGTTTTTATGTCTTTATTCCAAATAAAACGTACCTTTATTTCACAGGCATATTTGCGTAAATGGTCACAAAATCAGGGTTCATTTTTACGTTCAATTCACACATCGACAGCCATTTAAGTATGTGCACAAAGTCAAGGTCTAGTTTGGCATCATAATTGTAAACTGAAACCACACTTAGAATTATTCGTAGATCCCACATTCAAAGTTAATCTTCTCAAAAACGAAAAATTTTCGAGGAATAAATAAATGTCATATACGAAGAAAAAAGTAAATTACATAAGAAAATGCATTTTCATACAAAAGTCTGTTAACGGTAAACTAACAGACTTTTTTTGTATGAAAATAAATAACTTGAGTAACGAACTTAACCAAAATAAACAACTGTTTTTTAGCTTTTATTTCGAATTATTCTGAATTTATGACGGCTATATTTATTATTTTAAATTATTAGTAATATCCGTGAAAATTTCTCTATATTTTGGAAGCTTAACCATAGTTACTAGTGTAGTGTTTATCACTTCTTTTACTTTCATTTTCCAATTTCTCATCTTGGCAATTATTGATCATCTTCTTGTTTAAGTTCGAAAAGAAGATGAAATGCATAATTAACTAACGAAAAATATTTTATTTGAACTAAGATCTTCTCTGTCTTCACACGTTTTACTCTTTTCCACCCTGATTCCTAAGAAGAATCGTAATTAAGATTTTCGCAAGCACGTTGAATCCTTATTAAAATTAATTAAAAACTATTTGAATTTCTTCTGTTAAGTTTCACAAAAGCGAACAATGGAAAAATAAAATATGTATATTTATTGTTTGAAAATGCTGAATTATTAGAATGAAAATTTTAACTAACAATATTACAAGGTTGAATCTAAGCGAGTAAAAATGAGTTAGTTTAATTTTTTTTCTCGCTTATATTACAATTACAATATTGTTTTCGTTTAATTTCGTAGAACGTTGTCATATTTCTTTAAATCGCCATGACAGCGGAGCGGAATAATAATACATTTTTTACTCGGAGGCGTTTTTGCAAGATGTTTGTTAACGTACCATAAGAGAATACTAGGTTTTTTTTTTTGGTTTTTTTAACACACAATCTCATTTCCTTGTCCGGCGTATAAACTATTTTTTATCCCTCACTACAAAACAATGATTAACAAGTTACTAGTGTTAAATGAGTTAAAGTTCTAGAGGAAATCGACAAAAAAATGACCTTATTTAGAAATTCGGATTTTAACGATTTAAAATTAAATTACGTAATTCATATCGATATTATAGTCGTTTCATAAATATTTTATGCAAATAACCAAACCCGTGCAAAAGAAATATTACAGAGAGAAGGAAAAGACATTTAAATTTCAAATCTGTAGCAAAAAGCGCGGACGTAATATGCAACTGTATCACGTGACCCATTGTAACTTTTAGAACCAATTAATATTCAGCGCGCTTAAATCTGAACTCGTTTGCATCAAATAAAATACTTATTGCCAAACCTTTTAGTGTTGTATTTTATTTTCAGTGTAAATTTCTCAGACGAGATATCATTTATTTACAATATTTTTTTTCATTTTGACTATTGTCTTCATATTTGGATTCAGTTCAAAATTCTCGGATCGACAAGTACACAAAAACCGAAGGGTACAACGACTGAAACGTTGTGATAGCAAAGCTGCAAAATGAAGACAATATAGTCCGAGTCTAAATAATGTAAATAATGAATTATTTTATTATTCATTGCTATGCGAATACTTTTCTTTTACATTGTCTTTATCGCTTAACTCTACAACACATCAGGCTAAAAATACAAGCTACAGAGGTAGAGAGAAAAAAATCAAATAAAAAAAAAATGTCACGCAATCTCACATGCTCTGTGAAGAATTTAACTTTGCTACTACTTTACACAATGCCAATTATTTTATGACTACGTGTATATTAGACCACGGCAGTCCAGCAGTAACTTTATTACAGTCCGACCATGTAACAAAATATCCACTAAGTTCAGTTACAGTTTATCTTGCAAATACTGAGTTGTATGGAATATGTTTTTGTTTTGATTAACTTTCTTCAGTCAAATTAAAAATAAAGTAGATTAGATTTATTTGTATAATCCTCAAGACACTTTCATTAAAAAAATTTAAATAGTTAATTCATATCGGCTTGTTTTAATTACTTAGTCTTGAATTTTAAAATAAATGTTGTCCCCTGATTTTTTTCATAGTTGATTTTTACATTTATTTCGATAAATATAGATTTTTTTCTTTTAAATCAAACATTTATTTTTATTCAAAGCAAACCTCACATTAAAAATGTCTCAGAAAAATGTAAATTTTTCAGTAAATGTCATATTTGAAAATATAACGTGGTGTTTATTAGGATGTCATCAGTTTGTCGATGCAGAGACCATCGGATCAAATCCGCATGTTTCGAAAGCGAAGATTAAAACCAGTGGAATTATAACTCTTACTTATAGTTTTAATAAATTAACACTAACACTTTTTCAGCAGCAAATATTGAGTTATTGAATCCACCTACAAGTAAGTATATGGGTCTTTTTTTCCACTGGAGGACGAGAAACAATCATTAATTTCAAGATGAAAAAACCTCAAGATGCCTCCACATTTTTGCTAAAAAAAAAAACGACAGCATGATGAAGAGAGGCCCCATACAAAAACTAAGTTTTATCGTCAAAATGTTTCTTAAGAGGAAAGACTAAAGTATTTTTTTATTTTATTTTTTAAAGTTTTTACTTTCTAAAATGTTCGAAATTTTGGTTCTTGTGTTTTTAAGCATCCGACGGTGTTAAGCAGTTATGCCTGTTTTCTCGTAAAATAATATTAATTTGGAAAGTCTTGCAAAAATCAAATAATTGTCGAATTTTAATGAAACTTACAGAACTTAAAAAATGAATGAATTTATTTTTG